AATTTTTTTCCGTGCCGCTCTCGCACCTTGATATCCTGGACCCCCCGCAATATTGCGAGCGTAAGCAGTCATGACGGCGGTCGCAGGAGTGACGACGGTGGCAAGAGTACATAACGACTCTGCGAAAATGGAGATTGCTGATCAAGACGACAGTCGCAAGGACAACCCATGGCCCCCCCTCAATCCGCAACCGTGCCTTGTCTGAGCATCTTCTTAGGGTGGAGGGCTCAGGGTGAAATCCATATGGGCTCTTGCACCTCGAGAAACAATCCGTCTTGTGATTCACCTCTTGCAGGTTCAAGCCTCGAGCATCTATCGAAACGGCATTCCAGATTTCACCCTTGGCCCTCCACCCAAAGAAAATGCTCGACTTGTGCACGCTGAGGCGTGAAGGATGCCAAAGTCTGTCTGGTCGGGGGTCTCTGCAGTCTTCGACGGCCCCCCCCCCCCCATCACGGCCGCAGGGCGCTGCGCGCACCGCCCCCCCTTCTCGAGGCTCCTGGGCTGCCTCACACCTCCCTGGCGCAGAGAGAGGAAGAGAGAGAGAGAGAGAGAGAGAACACAAACAAAGAAAACAAAAACGGTCCAACGAGAGGAGAGGAGGAGGAGGAGGAGCAGGAGGAGGAGGAGGAGGAGCAGGAGGAGGAGGAGGAGGAGGAGGAGGAGGAGGAGGAGGAGGAGGAGGAGGAGCGAGAGAGCGACAGAGACACACACGCACACGCACCCTTTCAACGTCGGTGGCCCCAATGGCCGCCCGACGGACGCGCGGGCCATCGGACCCCGACTGGGCAGACTCTCTGGCGGGACGTCTCGGCGCCAAGGCGTCCACGATGGCTTCCAAGACCGACCTGGGAGGCCACCACGGCCGCCAAGATGGCCAAAGATGCCTCGAAGACGGCCCAAGATTGCCCCAAGATGGCCTCAGGACCGCCCAAGAAGGCTCCAAGGGAGCCTCCAGCAAGGCCCGAAGAGGACAAAATCAGTGGTTATCCTACGGTGTTTGAAAGATTTGTTGATTTTCGCCCTTACGAGCTTCCGTCGGCTCAAAGACGGCCCAAGAGGCCTCTAGGATGGCCCCGCCGCCCACAATGCTGCGCTGGCACGGAAGCAACTTGACGCTTGCGTGGCGTATGGAACCGCACGAGGCGACAACGGCCCGACCTCGACACAGCCAGCCGGAAAGCGCGAGAAGTCCCACGCGAATCGACAGCCAATGGGGCATAGTAGGGAACATGGTATCGATGGCGACAACCATAGAACCAGCACTCGCGAGGATGGTGGTGATGATGATGGCGGCAATGATGGCAAGGACGATGATGATGAGGATGATGATGATAAGGATGATGATACAAATCACAATAGTCAGGACATTGATGATGAGGACGATGATGATGATGATGATGATGATGGCACTTACGAATGATGATGATACTGATGAGGCTGATGATGATGACGATGACGATGATGACGAGGATAACGATGCTGACGATGACGGTGACGGTGACGATGCTGATGCTGATGTTGGTGTTGATGAATCAGATTGCAAGTATGCTGATAATGGTAGTGGAAGTGGTGATGATGACGATGACGATGACGCTGACGATGACGATGATGATGCTGATGATTTTGTTGATGATGAGGATGAGGATAATGGTGATGCTACTGCTGCTGATGCTGCTGCTGCTGATGATGATGCTGATGATGATGATGATGATGATGATGATGATGAAGATGAAGATGAAGATGAAGATGAAGATGATGATGATGATGATGATGATGATGATGATGATGATGATGATGATGATGATGATGATGATGATAATGATGACTGTGGCAATCATGCTCCGCAGGATGGTGGTCACGAACGCGAGCTTCGAGAACATCACATGCATATGACGCGAAATCGCATGCGCAGGAGGCAACCTAATGCACTGGACCCTCCTGAACGTCGGCTTCAAGGAAACGCCTCAATAAACAGTACCCCTTGCCTTCCCAAGAGGTGCCTTAAAAACAGGACACGGGGCACGAATCATGAAGAATATGAAGTAGCCAAGCTCCAGGAGAGGTCGGGGTCCCCTGTGCAAAAGCGGGTCCTGGTCCGGGGCCCCGGGTCCAGGACTCCCTTCAACGTGCCTGCGCATGTACATACGAGAACTGTGCATGTGTACGTGCAGGTGTGCGTGCATGTGCATGTACATGCGAGAGCCGTGTGCACATGCGAGAGCTGTGTATGTATGCATGTATGTACATGAACCCCTGGAGCAATCCCGTGCCAAGGGACATGGAGGCGCGAAGCGCAACCGAACATCAAACTTGTTGTCGACCGCTGCTTCGGCCAGATTGCAGGCAACGAGCGAACGGGCGCCGAGCTGAAAGAAGCGTTGGCGGACGGAGCTCGGGAGCAAATCCACGGCCTCCAACCCCTACGAGAACCGGGAATGTGCCCACGAGAACCGTGCACCGTGCACGCGTACGTGTATGCCTCGGAACGGTGTTGGCACCGAGGGGCTCTTTCCTTGCCTTTGAGCGGAGCGGGGCCCGCGTGCGGCCCGTGGAGAGCCTGCGGCTGCGGCCCCGGCGGCCCCGCTCCTGCCCGTCGCCGCCGCCCCGCTGCAGTCCCCCCCCCCAATCGCACTGCAGCGCAACCGCACTGCAAGCGCAATCGCACTGCAATCGCAATCGCATGGCATCGGAATCGCAGTGTTCAATCGCGCTGCGTTGTGTTGCACTGCTTTGTGCTGCATTGTTTGCACGGCTTTGCATTTCTCTACGTTGATTTGCGCTGCTTCGCTTTGCTTTACAACGCTTGGCTCTGATGTGCACTACGTTCCATGGATTTGCACTGCTTTCCATCACAAAGACTGCACATCTCACCACCTAGAGTGCACCACATTGATTGCACTACCTTGCACCGCATACATATATGCATATAACAATAACTTACTATTTGGGGCCCATGCTGGTTAACACATGCATGTGCAGAGAAATCCACATACGCATACACATTGATGTTTGCATGTGAATTTAGGTGCATTCACACATGCAGAATTACACATACACGTGCATACACTAAACGAGCGTGGTTCTCGCAAACCTCAGCCCGTGCCAAGCTCGCACTTGCAAGAATGTGCACGCCTGCGAATTGGCGTCAACATGACTCCAAGAAGTGGCACGGCGCGGACCGAGCAGAGAAGGGCCACGTGGAAGCCTCTGGGGTTCCTTGAAGGCCACCCACAGATGCAGGACTCGCACAGCGCCCACCCTGCCGATTGCGGCACACCTCTCGCGCGGACCGTGTTCCACAGGGAGCACCACCCACGGCTCCGGAGCAGCGCACGGCGGACCCAGGATCGGAGCCACTACGACGGGACCGCGCTCCCAAAGCCGCGATCTCTCCTACATTGAGCTGCGTCCGCTCCCCGTGGGCTACAGGATCACTCGTAAACCACGCTCGTAAATCACTCGTAAAACACGATCCATCGTACATCACGCGACGTCCGCTCTCCCAGGACGGCGACCCCTTGAAAATTACGCGGGAGTCACGCTCTCGAGGCCACGGCCCAGAAAGTTACGCTGGATTCGCGATCCAAGGGCAACGATCCATTTGAAATTACATAAGATTCACGCTGCAGGGCCACGGTCCATCGAAAATTACACTGGATTCGCGTTTCCGCTGGGTTCGCGGTCTCAAGGCCAGGACCCCTTCGAAAATTACACTGCGTCCGCTCCCCCTGGGCCACGATCCATCGTAAACTGCGCTGTGTCCGCGCCCTCAGGGGCAAAATCCATGATCAATTACTCTTTGTCCGC